CTGCTACTGGTGTACAGGCCATCTTTCCAGGTCTATACGGTGAAAACATGGTTTAAGCTGGGTTTTTCTTCCAGATCTGAAGAGCGACATCTCTCCCAGTCCTGGGAAGATGGGTTCGTGGCTGGCATGTGCGGAGATGTGTGAATGACAATGCGTCTGCTCGCTTCTACCAGAGAGTGCACGTAGTCATTTTAAATGCCTAATCTATCTCCCCGAGCCTGGCAGTGCCTGCGACGCGATCTTGTGTAGGTGTGTGATGCCCCCCTCCCCGGGTGCTGCTGCAGCAGTAGTTGGCAATGGCGTTGTCTGGCGAAAAGACAGAGAGGGAAGGAGAAACAACCTTACCTCACTGATTGCAGTTTATTAACATTAGGAAATTCATTGTCTATGAAAGAAGTTGGTAATAATTAAGGGAGTTAATAAATGAGGAATGTGTGTGTACAGATTAGACAGTAAATAACTTACTGGCTTCTTGATTGCCCTGGCATTTTGCTTCTCTCTTCATACAAGGTGTGAAGTGGGCTGACGGTGGGCAGAGCGCAGTAGGGGATTTTTGATACTCACCTGGGGAAGAGGCAGCCCCGTAAACCTTGGCTTCTCCTCGGGTGCTGGCGTGTGTGTCTGAGCCTGTCCCCGGGGGCGGGGAGGTTGTTTAATGCTTTTAGTGCCATTTTCCAACAAATGAGAGACGCGTTTAAAAATAGCAGCAGCCCTTTGCGCTTGCCTTTTTTTAAGGCATTTTAAGAAAGAGCTGCTTCCCTTTGTCTGGGAAGAGGACCTGCTCTTCGAAGTCCTCATTAGCTCCTCTGGGACCGTGGCAGGGCTCCTGGCGGCCCCCCTCCTCTCGCCGGCTGCGTGCGTTAATTGTCCCCTCTTCATGCGCTCAGTGGCAAGCGAGGTTGTTTCAGAGATGCGTTTTGCTCAATGGGAGCCGGGAAAGGTGCGGTGCAGAAAGGAAATACCCCTCTTGGCCAGACAAATCCCGCATTTTCCAGCAAGACAATTCTCTTTTGTCTGGTTGCTTTTGGGGCCAGGGGCTCGGGGGGTGCGAGTGTGTGTCTGTGAGTGCCACTGTGCAAGCTCAGGTTTAGCCATTTGCGTACAGACTATAGCAGCATTATAATTTTTAATTGCAATTTCATTTGTTATTCTCTCCCTTTCCCCCACCCCGCTCTCTGTATAATCTGGATCATTGCTCTCTGTAGCTGATTCCGTGGGAGACCAAGCAGAGTGCGTGGGTGCAGAATATAGAAAGCCAGAGCCATAGAATCTGTTATTTGCGTCATTCTAGGAGACGGGGCTGTTTGCCTGACAAATATACAGAATTAATCCTGGTTTTATCAATATCTGTCTTTTGCTACAGTAGCCAAATACAAGTGTAAGGTGGTAGTGGTACTAGCTGCTGCTGTTCCTGGAATTTGAGGGGGGGGACACACACAGGGGGGACAAGAAGGGGAGAGAGAAAGAAATGATGCTAAAATATATTCAGCTACCCCCATGCTGTTTGCCTTAGAAATATTCAAAAACCTGTTATTTTTGTCCAAATTCCTTGTTGATAAAATTGCTAAACATGAGAAGGGGATGGAGGGGGGAAGGGGGGGGCAAGGG